GTTAATTTCTCGTCTTTTTTTCTTGGTAAAATGTAGGAAAATGCTAATTTTGAATTTAGTTTAGACTTAATTTATGAAAATAATGATTGGCATGCATAGACACTTTAGGTTGCTTCAGTAGATATGATCTCCAGCTCCGCTCACCACGTCGGAGATAGCTTCGTTAATGCATCTTCCGACGTTATTCCGATGATCTCTCAGTTTAGCCACCACTTTTTTTCATTTTTGAACTCTATTTCAAACACTCGAAAACCACTTTACATAACTTCTCAAGGAATTAAAAAAAAAAAGCTTGTTTATTACTTAATTATAGACCCAAAAGTACAAATGAGAGACTTGGGTCTTTGGATTTTATGTATACAATATTTCTTTATATGTTAATTTGTTTAAATAAAATTTATAGTGAAGCCATTGGGCAACTATGCATTCAATAACTAAACAAAAGGGATTTCTTGCGCATTGTTGACATCATCATCATTATGGACTTTATAAGCCAGCTCACAAGGTTCTCTGAAATTATATTAATTGATGATCCATCTAAGAAACATCGTGCTCTTTTTACTTCCGGGTAAATTCAATGAAAAGTCGGTGAAACTACTTAATGATCTTAATATACTTAAACAACACATTTTCTATTCACTATACAATTTCTTTTATAGACTAGAACGTATTCATAGAAATATAATTTTTATACGTAAAAGTCTAATTGGTCCAATGGTCAAGCGTGAGATTAGATTAAAAAAAAATGCAATCACCCCAATGAATAATAATTTGATTTATACGTAAAGAAACAAATAATAACATTTTAGTTCTGGAGTTTCTTATTGTATTTTATGCTATATTTTAATAGTATTGACTCCGCAATTGGTCTAAACTTAGTAACAAATCTTAGTTGTTTTTCTGTTTGGAAAAAATCCATATCGTTTTCCATTTTTATGTATTCTATTTATAAATTAGACTATTAAGATTTTATTTTTCGAAAACGACACGGTAACGTTCATGAAATTAACCATACAAAGATTTATTAATATTTAATTGATTTTGTTTTTAGTGAAAAATATTGTTTTTTCTCTTGTTTCTTGCGAAATACATTGCACCATTCACATTTTGTACATGTTGAGCTGTTAATTGTGTGTACTATTGAGAATTTTTTTTTTTTGGTCAAAATTGAGAATTTTTTTTAAACTAAAAATTTGATAATGTATTAAACAGCTCACGAGTGACGAGAAATGCATGCATTGGTCAAATTTGTTATTGCAATTCTTGTTTTACCTTTTAAGTAAAACTGAACTCTAATTTAAAAGGGCAAATAAGGTATTTGACATGTACTTCACTCACTATAAAAAAAACTTACACTACTACAACTTGAGTCACTCACCTTATAGATTACAACAACAAGAACTCCATGCCTAAGCCCAACTTGCCCGTTCCGACGTCGTCGTTTCAAGTTTCCAATGGTGGTAACCAAAACAGAGAGAAGAAATTTGGTTACCTCATCTATGAAGTGGAGCCTGGCTTCACCGTTCGACTACGCAAGGATATTGACCCTACCATGGATCCTAAGAAACTCAAACGGTTTGGTGTTACAAAATATTTCATTTTTAATCATCTTGCGAATAACTTTTATAATATTTCAAAACCATAAATTGAAATTCATCAGTCTCCATACGTATGTAGCATAATTTTGAACCGTGTTTCGGCTCAAAGGTCAAGGTGGAAGAAGCGTGGATATGTTGAATATCTATTGAAGAAAAAGAAGGAGCTCGAAGTATCTTTATAAATTTACTCTAATACTTTTATTTCATACATGTACTATATACTTCAATTCTTATTATTCTTTATATGAATATACATAATTTCATGGTAAGTTATATATACAGATGGAGGTGAGTGTGAGGCGTGCCCTACTCGAAATGCTGAATGAAAGGACTAAGTGTCTTAACATTAAGTATAGGGAGCTTGAGGAGCGTACTTTTGCTACAAATCAACGTTTAATTTCCGCTGAAGGTACAATATGTATAACAACAGTTAACTAATTAGATATATATTTTTAGAGTTGATATATTAATTATAATTGTAATATGCTTAATTAATAGCTGAGGCTGAAGGGGCTTTAGCGAAGCTACGAGAACTTGGAGATGACATTGGCTCATTCGATGTGACTACCCTTATGAACCTCCTTCTCTAAGATCCACCAAAATTCTATGTTTCGTTTTAAGTTATGAGTTTTTGTTTTCTTTTATTTCAAGTGTTTCGATTTACATAATATTTGTACTAAATTGAAATCAAATCAGCATGCAATAGTTTTGTATGGTATTTTGTTTCAGTTGGGATTAATATATTATCTTACCTTTGATTTGTTTTTCTTTTAAAACATAGTTCAAATTAATTTTGGAAAACAAAACTAGTTTGACCGAATTAATAATTACTTTAATTAGTTAAATTTATATGTTATTTATGCAATATGTGGATTTGGACTCGGATGATAATATAAACACAAACAAATATGCTATAGTCGTTATATGTAAATGTTTATATTAAGTTATAATAATTTCTTACAATATTTTTTCTGACGTCAAAACTCAAAAGTGATATATCGCCTTTTTTCTTGGTAAAGGTAGGAAAATGCTAATTCTGAATTAAAACGCCTGTATATAGAGTTAAAAAATACGGCTATGTAATGATTTGCGTAATTTCAAATATAACCTGGTTAATAACAAAAAGAAAGAAACTATATAAATTAACATCATACACCGATCCTCCTTTTATTTGGAAAGTCTCTCAAGGTATCAATTTCACTCATTTTGCTGATTATATCTTTAAATTGACCCAAAATAAACCCAAAAAATAAGAAATAAACCATCAACATGTTGAATGATAACCCAATCTTGAAAGATGAAAAAACCAAAATGTTGAAACAGAGAATAGATAAAAACATTACTATACTGTGCAAATTGCAATCGATGTGTATCATACTAATCTACACACTTTTATGTTGCTTCAGTAGATATGATCTCCAGTTCCGCCCACCACGCCGGAGATAGCCTCGGCAACGCTACTTCTGAGGTTATTCCGGTGATCTCTCTTAGCTTAGCCACCACTTCTCTCATTTCCAGACTCTGTTTCAAACACTCCAAAACCACTTCCCATAACTTCTCGAGAACATTGTCCTCCTCGAAGCTTTCCAGTGTCGGATCCACAACAGGCTTGGTTTCATGGAGCAGAGAATCCGGCTCCGGGATCTTTCCGGTGATGATCTCGTGCAGAATCGCGCCAAAGCTGAAGACGTTGTTGTTGGTCTGAGGATCAAGTGAAGTGGAGCTGAAGAAAGTAAAGTCAGAGACTTTGGCTGCATAATCTGTTGTCAAGTAGATAGAAGAAGAGTTGAGGTTGGTGTGGAAGAAGGGTTTAGGGTTGAGACTGTTCATGTGTTCTACACAGTAAGCTATTCCCATTGCGATTCTCAATCTCGTTCGCCAGTCCAATGGCTCTGCGTCTTGCGCTGAGCAATAACAATACAGTTGGTTTTAAAAAGGGAATTATGAGACTGAGTCTATGGAAGAACTGGCATTGCCATTTACTGACCGTGTAGTTGTTCGGAGAGGGATCCATTAGGAGCGTACTCGAAAACCAGCATTCGGTTGAAAGGCTGGTCTTCATGGCAATATCCGATTATATTCAGAAAGTTCTTGTGGTCTACCTGAGATAACCTCTGTATCTGCATTGCAAGATTGTATGTTTGTTTTAAGAAGAGAAATTAGATAAGGAGGTTCTGATGCTTTATTACCTTTTCTTGGAACTGTGTTTCGAGATCCTCTGACCAGTCCTGGAGGGAACCACGTGCGACGGATAAAACCGCGATTTCAGAGCCTGTGGATAGAGTTCCTTTGTAAATGGTTGCATCGGAGGATGTGGAGCCTATGATGTTACTGAAATCTTCGCAGGCAGCTTCCAATTCCGATAGCTTCAGCTTCGGAACACCTACAAGAGTCATAATAAGTACACTAAATCACTCACCAATCTGCTATGCTATTCAGTAGAGTAAACATAACACAATGACCAACCTGTTATAACAAAATCTTGAAGCTGGCCACTGCTCCTAGTTGCCGATGGGTTTATCGTCATTACCTTTTGCTTCCGGAGAAGAAAGAAAGCCACCAATGCGATCGTCACGCCTACTACACCTACGACCACTCCAACTATTATCAAAATCTTGTGATTCTTGCCAGCATGAGACGGAGCTGAAGGAGGCAGAGCTGGAGGAGGCAGAGGTGGAGGAGGCAGAAGTGGAGGAGGCTGAGCTGGAGGAGGCTGAGCTGAAGGGATATTGGCTTTGTCACTACTACTGGGGGGGTTTTTAAATATAGTCTGCGGAGGAGGAGGGGGAAGAGGAGGAAAAGGAAAAGCAGGGGTAAAAGGATCTATGGTCTCTGTTTCTGTAGGCGAT